ATTCACCCGCTAACATCAGCTGTAAACGGGACCATCTTTAGAGGTCACCTTTGTTCACCTTTGACCTCCCCTCACCTCCTTGTACTTTAATGTATTTCTTTATTATTTAATTGGCAGCAGCAGCAGGAACAGTCCAGCACACTAACCTCAGCTCACTGATAACAGCTCCAGGATTTTATAAGAACAGCTGATAAGAACCGCAGAGCACTGTTACAGATAAGGGGATTGATTAAAGAAGGAAACTGTCTGTTTTATTTTTAGTGTGTTAAAGATGAGACTTTTTTTTACTTCACTATAGAGGTTAGAGTGACAAAAAGGTTTTATTTTTGTCATTTCAGAGCCTGTCAGTACATGGAAGGAGAAAATAAAGGTCCCAGTTTCAGAATAGAAATGATAGCTTATGAAATATTGCATTATGTTAATATGAATTTAAATATCTGATTTTAAATATCTGTCAGTTTAATGTTTTTGAGTCTCTGGTTATGTTGTTTTTGATGGTTCTGCCCTCTTAGATTTGGGAGCTCCATCTTTAAAGCTCCTGTGAGTGTCAGTTTTGGTGCCCTCTGTGGACAAAGACGTCTACTCTTATCTCATTGTCTGTGAACTTGAGTCATCCCTTCTTACAAAAATCACATCCTGCTGACTTTTGATGGTCACATGTGTGCTTTATTGAACGTTTTAGGTGGAAAATTGTGAAACCAGGGCTTTTTTTCAGCTGCTCGGCCGACACCATCCCCCTCACACCAGATAAAAACATTACAAGGTTAAATATAAAAATCGTCAATAATGTTGCAGACGCTCTAAAAAGGCATCAACACTGACATAAAAAACTCCTCACAAAAGCTTTAATGAACTCATCGTTTTCCGTTGCACAGTTAGTTTTATCAAACTGGTGTTTTGAATGTGACTTCGCTGCGACTGCCCTGCTAAAATCATCATCTTTTATAAATCAGAGACTTGGACTTGAGTCCCGTTTTTGACTTGCTTGATGAAATCAAGAAATGACTTGGACTTGCTTTGGACTTGATTGCTAAAGACTTGAGACTTGACTTGACTTGAGCCCAGTGACTTGAAAAGTCAAGTCAAGTCTTTTCAAGTCACTTAATACCTTACAGCCCAAACCGTTTAAAAAGTGTCGCATCAACTAATAGTCAGGAATTACAGCCGTTGGTAACACCGTGTTGTGTTGCCAAGTCTGCTTATTTCGCTTGTTTTTGGCTTGTTTCTGGAGGTCTGTTTCCTTATTTCTCTCATGAAACTTGGCAACACTGTCTCAAACTCTCGCCTCTCTCATAACGACAACACCGGGAGGACTGAACATAAATCGCTCGCTAGTATTGCCCGCCTGTTTCCACGTGTTGCCTTGTGTCTCTCTTTTGTTTTGGAACAGTGAATCAAAGTATCAGTTTAATGTTTAATTGTTTTTGAGTCTTCCTTATTTTTGTGCACATTGTCTAAGTTTCCAGTTATTAAAGTTTATCTGATTATTTTTTGTATGACATGTAAAATAGTTTGGTTAAAGCTGCACTATGTAACTTAACCCAAACAAGAACCTTTGTTTAATAATAAATGAAAATAGTGAAAAATGCTCATGATTTATGTAAATCTTCACATATGACAAATGGTTTATGGCTTTGATTTGACTTGTTTTTGACTTGAAAGAAACGGTAAGGACTTGGTTGGGACTCGAAACAAAAAGTTCAGGACTTGGACTTGACTTGGGACTTGTCTGTGTTGACCTGGACTTGCCTCTGACTTGAGAGCAAAGACTTGAGACTCGACTTGGACTTGCAACATATGGACTTTCCCCCACCTCTGGTAAAGATGCTGTGACACCAAAACTTTGACCCATAAAGTGATTCTGAGGTTTGGTGGACCATTTGCATTCAGTGCTAGTTCCATGTAGGTTCATCAGAGACCCTTCAGAGGTGACGGTTTGGCTCAGGTGTCTCCACACATGCAGAGGTTAGAGTTTCAGCTTCTTGTTCTGTCCACTGTCCCGGACTCAAGTTGCATAATTTGTGCTGCACGAGTTCCCGACGTGTGCTCATTAATATAACTTACATGGACAAAAACAAAACCATAAAAAACATCAGAGGATGGTCTCAAAGTACGGAAGTATCTTTATGGATGAACAAGTAACCTGCAGAGGTAAACACTGAGATAAGAGAAGAGCCGAAAAATCCTAGAGACTGAGCGTGGCCGCCAGGTAATTATTCCCTCAGATAAGAGCGCCTAAAAAAACAAGAACATTCAGGAGCTGTGAGGAGATGGCTAATAATTATCTGAGAGGAACCAACGAAGGATCGGACAAACAGAAAAACAGTCGGCTCACTGCCAAGAGTAACAGTTTAAGTCACACTTAAAAACATTAACAGAGCTGCAGCGACACAGAAAGCACACATTCATGGGCCTGTTAACACACCGCTGCTCGCTCTCTGTCTCTGTCTCTGTCTCTGTCTCTGCTCATTCTGGACAAGATCTTTGGGGTGTTGAACCAGAAACTTCAAGTATACATCACTGAAATCAGCTGAAGTACTTTTCACTTACTATCAAGAGGTGTGCCTGTTTACTCTCCCCACCAGAACGTCAGGATCCAGTTACACGCTGTACAAACCATGATGACCTGATAGAGTCACTGTTTCATGAAACTGCCTTTTCAAAAGCCGTAAATGTTGTAGTAACTGGATCTGCAAAATCTGGCGAGGCTGTTGGAGATTGTTTTTAAAAGAACTGCAAAAGTAGAAAAAAAAAGTCTGTTAAAGTTGAGATATTTTCCTCATTATGAGCTCTGACCCTAAACTATCAATCCACCCTGTCATGTTACCTGACTTACCTGACTAGACTGGAAACTAAAACTGCGCCTCGCTGAGTGAAACCCTGCACCAGGTTAAAACAGGGTTTGCAGTGTCTTTGTTTCAGCTAATGTTAATGTTTTATTCAACCGAAGGTCATGGTAGCTCAGCAGACTCTCTCCTTTTCAAACGGTTTGGATTAAAAAAAAACAGAACTTTTCTGGATGATTATTCGCACAATTTCACAACCTTGTTTTGTCCAAATCACTCAATTAAAGCTGAACTCGATACAGAGTTTTCCACCTTTGAGATACAAGAAACAAACACTGCAGCTCTTCTTTAATGTTTTGTTTTCCTTGTACTGCCTTCATTATAACCGTTAATATCAACACGGACTGAATCAGAGTATGTGGAGTTAGTTATCTGTATGACATTGTTAAAGTTTTCCCGCTTGTTTTTGTTCCCACATTCGCAGAAACTGTCTCTTGAAAACAGACAGTGAGGAGAATCAAATCTCGGTTCAAAAACAAGTTAGTGATGATTAACTCCAGTCTCCGTCTCTATCTTCTGTCTTACACAACAGCAGCAGTGAACCATGGGACAAAAACATGTGGGTCCATACAGCCTCTGTTAAGCTAATGCCGCTCTGAGACGGTTATACTGCTTTGCTTTATGAGGGGTTTGTGTTGATGAAGGTTGAGACAGAGGAGAAGTTGATGCTCTGTGACCCTTGAAATAATTCACCAAACCAGCGCAATGAATAAACGGGATTAATATCAACAGTTCAGGGCCTCCTTGGTCCCATTTTCGGTGTCACGATGCTCCAAATGTTTCCAATGGGAGTCGATTTAGGAGTGCATCAGTCCAGTTTCTCAGCAGGACTCTTCTACTACAGAGCCATGCTGTTGTAATCCCTGTTGTCAGAATGTGGTTTGTCATGGTCCTGCTGAAATTGTTCATTGTCTGGATGGCAGCAGACCAGAGCATCAAAACTTCCAGAGTTGTGTTCTCGTATGCGCCCGGCTGTTTCATGAGTATGTTTGTAGATCTACTGCACTTAGACACCTAGAAGGCACACCAGAAAGCTCAGGTTATATGAAACTACTGGATAGATTTGAGGAAGGAAAACAAGCAAGATGATAATAATAATAATAATGATGCATCAGATTTCATATAGCGCTTTATCAGAGACCCTCAAAGCTCTTTACATTGGATACTTCATTCATTCGCTCACACAGTCACACTTTGGTGGTGGTAAACTACCTCAGTAATCACAGCTGTCCTGGGGCAGACGGGCGGAAACGTGGCTGCCAGTTTGTGCCCACAGCCTCTCCGACCACCACCACACAACGCTCACAATCATACACCAGTGGAGGACACACACTGGGAGTAAGGTGGGTTAAGTGTCTTGCCCAAGGACACAACAGACAGACTAGGGATAGGAGGAATTGAACCACCAACCTTCCAGTTATTGGACGACTGCTCTACCTCCTGGGCTCCTGCCGCCCCAATGATAGGCCTCACAGAAGTTACTAATTCTGAGTTTCGGTGACTCAGAGTGAGGAATTCTTGAGCCAGCTCAGGAACAGAACACACCATCAGAACCGGTTCTGCTCAGTTTTCCTTCATGCTCCAGAACCTAACAATCCTGGACTTGTTTTCGAACTTGTAGTTCTGCAGATCCCAGAAGAAATCTGAGTTTATCTCTCACCAGTTATTTGTTGCAATGCAGTGACATGAATGCATCATACAGATGTGGTCACTGCAGACTTGGGTCATTAAAATACTTCTGTCACTGTCTCCTGCTGATACGTTGACATTTTTGAGGATGTGCACAGCTGATGCACTAAACCAACTGGGAGCCATCATGCTTTTCGTGTGCATGGTTAACAGCAGGCATACCCATGACCTGACTAGATTTTTGGAGGCTTTGTCGACCTTGGGTGTGAGTCAAGTCCTCTTGGAGTCTCAATGATCTTTGCTCAGATAATCCTCAGGACTAAAGCTGTGTCCCTCTGCGCAGTTACAGGCCTGGAGCACCTCTGTTATAAAGTCTTATTCCCAGCTGCTTTTATCTTTATTCCCCGCTCTTTCTATCTTTGTGCATTTATTTCATCGTATCATTTGTGTATGTTCGGCACTTTTCATAATAATAATAATAATAATCATCAGATTTTTATAGCGTCTTATCAGAGCCCCTCAAAGTGCTTTTGTTGCACTAGCAGCTGTTTTGGCTTTTTGCAGCATATTTTGTCATCAAGATTGTTTTTTGTTTGTTTGTTTGTTTGTTTTTTTTAATGTGTTTTTGAAGTTGTGTCATTTCAGCTTTTTTGCAGCATGTTTAGTTTGGGTGGTTTCAGATCATCTGTCCTTTTTCAGCCCAACAGCACTTTGCATTGTTGCAGTTCTATTAAAAACCTTTACGTTGATGCCAGTTGCACAAACAAGTTCATCAGAAGTAGTGATACATTTAAATAACTTTATTTCATCTCCCCTCTTTGGGATTTAAGATTACAACAAACTGAAACAAGAGACAACAACAGTGTACAAAAATAAATTAAAGCTAAAAATAACAGCAAGAACAAAAGAACATTAATTTCCACCTTTTTCAGGAGGTCAAACAACACTGAAGATGAGCTAACAAGGACTCATTCACTCTTTCTGCGCCATAAGAACTCATATGGCTGTGAACATATGATGTGCATAATAAGTTATCATTAAATATGGGAATGGTATAAAGCAAGAAATTACATTGGTTTGAAACAAAGCTGCTACGACAGCAGAGATAAACATTCACGTTAACATCCTCAGCTCACAGATGCAGGAAGAAGATTTCTAACTAACGAAACAACAAGAAAAGAAAGAAACTGAATCAGAAATTAAAAATCCTGGAATCGCTTACATTCTGGTCTACCGCTACAGAGCTAACATTCACCGTTCTAGAATTAGTCACGTAAAGTTCTAGAATACAAGTCAAGCAGTTCTAGAATTACCGCCATGCTACATCAGAGATGCTAACATGTTTCTCTATTCTTTCCTTTTTAGCTCTTCTCTTTACATCTGCTTCACTCTCTGCTGCAACAGCTCCAGCTGTCGGGAAACCTCGTTCGGCAGGTCGTCATTCACCTGCGTGGTGAAGTACTTCCTAACATCCTCCACCTCCCTCTGCCAGAACTCCTGATCCAAGGAGAACAGCTCATCAAGGTCCACGTTCTGCTGCAGGCCCTGGAGGTTCAGGGAGTCCTTGCAGGGCAGGTAGCCGACCGCTGAGGGCATGGCGCCAGCCTCGCCATTTATCCGCCTGAACATCCAGTCCAGGACACGGATGTTGTCGCCGAAACCGGGCCAGAGGAATCCGGCGGATGGACTCTTGCGGAACCAGTTGACATGGAAGATTTTGGGGAGTTTGGCGCTGGGACGGTCGGCCATGCTCAACCAGTGAGAGAGGTACTGACCAAAGTTGTAGCCAAAGAAGGGACGCATGGCAAAGGGGTCGTTCATGATCACTTTGCCTGAAAATCCGACAATGAAAGACAAGAGAGCAGGTCAGTATCTCTGTGTTCACCCCAAATGACAACCCCGTTCCCTGCACCCAGTGAACATCTTAGTCCGCCATTAGTTTGAGAAAACTCCTAACAATCCATTTAGTGGTGGTCAGGACTTGTCAAGAAAAACCCCATTAAATACTGACCTTTGTGTTCAGCAGCAGCAGTCGCTTCAGATCTCATGGCTGCTCCAACAAACACTCCATGCTGCCAGCTGAAAGCCTCATAAATCAGAGGAACACCTGGAAAGGAAGCGCAGGTTTGAGTTAAAACGTGTGTTTATCTCGTCTCTTCTCTCATTTTTTTCTGTTTGTCATTAGTTGGTTTTCCAAGCAGCTCTTGCTCACCTTCTGGCCTGCGCCCTCCAAAGATGATGGCCTCAATGGGGACTCCCTCTGGAGACTCCCACTGTGGGTCGATGATGGGACACTGATCGGCCGGAGTGCAGAAACGTGAGTTGGGGTGAGCGCAGGGTTCGCCTAGACAGAAGAGAGACCAGAGGGTGAGCTTTGTTTCAGATTTATCAACAACAACAAAACCTTTAATGTCTTCAATTCCTCTCTGTCAGGTCTGTTTTGAGGTCTTACCATCTTGGGAGCTCCAGGGCTTATTCTTCCAGGATGTGATGCTGACTCCTTCGGGTAGCACCTGGTCCATCCCCTCCCAGTAAACCCCACCATCACTGGTCTCTGCAACGTTTGTGAAAACTGTGTTCTTGATGATGGTTGCCATGGCATTGGGGTTGGTTTTTGCTGAGGTGCCTGGTGCTACTCCAAAAAAGCCATTCTCAGGGTTGATGGCACGCAGATTGCCTTGATCGTCAAACTTCATCCAGGCAATGTCGTCTCCCACACATTCGACCTTCCAGCCGGGCAGCGTCGGGCAAAGCATGGCCAGATTTGTTTTCCCACAGGCACTGGGAAAAGCTGCTGCCATGTACTTCTTCTCCCCAGCAGGGTTGGTGATGCCCAGGATCTGAGAGACAAAGAGACAAAGGTAAGACAAAAGGTCTTTGTGGGGTAGATCTACAAGAGGCCTCATGTCAGTTCCTTACCAGCATGTGCTCTGCCAACCAGCCCTCCTCCTTTGCAATTCGTGAGGCAATTCGCAGGGCAAAGCACTTCTTTCCCAGCAAGGAGTTTCCTCCGTATCCACTACCGAAGGAGACGATCTGCCTGCGGTCTGGGATGTGGGCAATTAGTGTCTGGTCAGGGTTACAGGGCCAGTTATTCACCAGGGGTTCTAGAAGGGAAACAGTAAAATCGGAATAAGTTGGAGTACAACACGGTGACCAGTTGTTTAACCTCAGTTATGTGGAATCGATTAACATGCTGAAGTTGTTAACATACTCTTGAGTGGCAGAGGACAGCCGACGGAGTGCAGGCAGCGGACAAACTCGCCGGTTCCCAGGGCGGACAGCACATCAGTCCCCATACGGGTCATCACCCTCATACTGACGACCACATAGGGAGAGTCCGTCAGCTCAATCCCGATCTTAGAGAGAGGGGAACCAACTGGACCCATACTGAAGGGAATCACATACATGGTACGGCCTGAGGACAGAGTCAGAGGTATTAGTCGTGCATTTCACTAACATACCCATGGTTATGTCAGACTCTGTATTGACCTCTCTGAACCTTACCTTTCATGCAGCCTGGGAACCTCTGACCCATGGCCTTGTCAAACTCTTCCGGGGACATCCAGCGGCCCAGCTGGCTGACTCCACCGCCTACAGGTGTTGGAATTGTGTCCCTTTGGTCCGGGGTTACAATCACAGTCTTGCTCTCCACACGGGCGACGTCTCGTGGGTCGGTTCTGGCCAACCAGCTGTAGGAGGAGAAAGTAGAGAAGAAGTGATTAAGAACATATTTTAGATAACTTTGGTGTAGTTAGAGACAAAACAGGACAGGCAGGTTGAAGCAGGTTGTAACGTACACATAATCGGATTACCGTCCATGAGCCGGTGTACGGTCAGAGGGCAAGAGCTGTTACCTCTACGGTAAGACAGACTATTTCACTTCATTACTCCTGGACCTGATCCTGTCTGACCAAAGCTAACTGGTTCTGTGTCGGATAGTAAAAATACAGACTTCTCAGCTCTCAGTTCTTCTCTTGACTCTCAGTACAAATGAGTCGATGCTATCCTTTGGGCCTAAAGTGATATTCACAGTCAGCAAACAATCCCACAGCTTCCTCTTGTGAATTAATAATAATAATAATAATACATTTTATTTAAAAGCGCCTTTCTGGACACCCAAGGACACTGTACAGGCATTAAGAACACAGTTAAAACACTTTTAAAATAAATAAAAACAATATACATGTATGGAAATGGACAGTTAAAGGGAATACAGCTAGACTTTGAGGTCTGAGTGCAGTATGCAAACTGTGGAGAGTGTACAGATCACCAAGGCGTGGTTCTGCAAGGCTGGTTAAGATGTATGCATGCATGAGAAAACTGTTTTTTAATCTGTCCATAAGAAACTTAATATAATGTCAGAAATTCCCATGTCTGTCTGTTTAAAAAAACAATCCTGAGAATATTTCCTCGCAGCTTCAAGGCTAGTTTACTGTTTGTTGATGAAAAACAAGTTCCTTCCTGAGAGGTAAATGCAAATTTTGAGCTTCAGGGCGAACAAACAGAATATTTTAAGTTGACCTTACACCTGAAGAAACGCCGTATGAGCACTTATTTGTCCGACAGCTTCTTTTGAAGAGCCGTGATGTAACAGAGAGAGCTGGACTTACAGGTTTGTGAGAATGCAGACCTTTCCTTGGTATGTTATTCATTCAAACAGCTGCTCAGGATTGACGAATGCACATTGTCTTTAACAACAACATGACGGAGAGATCTGCCAAATGTGCTGAGGCTGCTATCCTCACAGGTTACTATGACGGCTGATTGTCAAAAATACATTTATGATCGGTCTTTATGAGTTAATTGGAAATAATTAGCTACCATGAGTAAACAGTTATGCAACTGTTAAAGACGCACGATCAGCTGCACGCTTTTCCAACCTACCAGTTCTCATATTTCTTGAGCTTCTTGATCATCCCCTGCTCCTCCAGCTGGGTCAGGATGGCTCGGTTCTCCTCATCAGAGCCGTTGCAGATGTGGATGGACTCAGGCTGGCACAGGGTCACGTTTGCATCTATGAACTCCCTGACGGCCGGGCTGAGGGCGCTGAGGTCGCCCTGCAGAACCCTGGGACCGCTCTGGTTCTGGGACTGAAGCTGAGGAGGCATGGTGGAGGTTTCTGGAGCGAGAGTGAGCGGAGAGACGGAGAAAAGGAAGAGAAGAGGAGGTATAGGAGTGGACTAGCCTGGAGAGGAGATTTAGATGAGAAGAGATGGAGGTGAGAGTAAAGTTTGTAAGAGTAGGGTGAGGAGAAGGAGGGGGTTCAAGGGTTCAAGGGTGCAGGAGTGGGGGATGGATGGGTATAAGAAAGAGAGTGAAAAAAAAGAGGACATATAATCAGTTTTTGCACCAAAGTCTTTTCCAGAAAAGTACAATGAAGTGTTGAAATCTCTAGTTTTTCTTGGTTTAAACAGAACTTCAGGCTGAAGAGAATCTTTCTCAAGAAATTCATCACAACTTCCTCTGAAACTGTTGCAAACTCCATCTAACACTGTGGGTGATGCAACCGCATCCTTCAGCATACTCCGCTCCCCCTGCAGAAAACAGTGAAGACAGACAACATCAACTCACCTTAAATAGTCAGTCTGGAGCAGAGAGCCTTCAGCTTGGCCTCATCAGTCGAGATTTCTCTCTTTTCAGGAGCTTTTGAGCTGTTTCTCCCTCTTGGTCAAGTTGTATCTTTGTGGAGAGGGTTTCCTCTTTTTATACTCTGGGATGTCCCACAAGAGGAGGGAGGGAAGAGGGAGGTGGAGGAGGAGGGGAGGCGAGTGTGTCAGAGGAGGCTCGTCCTCTGAACTATTTGCATGAACCTGTTGTTCTCTCCAGATCTGAAAAACAGAGAGTTACAAGCAGCCGGTGAATCATTAATCAGCAGCAGGACGTAATGTCGTCTTCACGTAACCGGTTTCCTCTGCCGGCCGCTGAACACTGATAGCAGAGACCGGGATCAGGTCCAAAACACAGACAGACAGACTGCTGTGTCCTGACTGGCACTGTTTCTCTCTGTACCATCATGGAAAAAAACCAAAGGGATAGTATCTGAATGTGTGTGTGCAGCTGTTTTTCACAGTCTGCATACTCTTTAATTTACATGCAAACTTATGTAAGTAAACCTGAAACAACACTGTCTGCAGAAGTCAAACACTGAACCAAAAAAAGAGCATTTTCAGGTTTACTTATAGTGAAAGTATAGTGTTGATATCTGAGTGTGCACGGATCGGTTTACTGCTGTCTTTGGATTTAAATGCTTTCATGCAGGGATAAAATCAAGGTTACATCACTGAAACATCCAGTTTGATGTGACTTGGTTTTTAAACTGGATCTTTTTTTGTGGGGGGGGGGAGTTTGCAGCTTTTTTGCAGGTTTCCCTCTGATTTAACTTTAAACACTGACAGAAATATCATTACAGAGTTCTTGACTTTCTCATTTCTTGTTAATCTTGCAGAAATATCCCTGATTCAAGCTAAAAAAAAACGTTTGTCTGCGTCACTCTCTTGCTGTGGAGACCCCTCGTCCTCCTGCAGCTGCCGGTGAACTTTGACCCACTTTAAAAAAGTGATGTAAGTTCAGGCTTGGACATCGTCAGACTGCTGTGTGACGTGGGCAGGGCCTTGGCTGGCCTCCTTTTGATTGGCTGATGAACGGAGGCTTGCCCCATAGTGGACAAAGGTCAGACAAGTCAGTGTGTGTGTGTGTGTGTGTGTGTGTGTGAGCGTGTGTGTGTGTGTGTGTGAGTGTGTGTGTGTGTGTGCTGCAGTTAAAGGGAATCTCTGAGCAAAGATAAAGACGTATTTTTCCCTTTAAAGGTAGAAGAGCAGAGTTGTAGAAGAGCCGAAATTGAGTAACCGGCTTTATTGAAAGTGCCGAATCAGCGAGTACGGTCGTGGTACATGGTGAAATTAAAAAGAGGACAGAGGACAGAGATTTACTGCGAGCAATACAAGTCAGCGAATCAGAGCAGAGAAAACTAAGTTAAAGGAAAAGTTAAGTTAAACCAAATACAGTAAGTTTTAAAGAACTGTTGAAAGTAAAAGTGAAGCCATGGCTTGGCATGTGCACTACATCGTTTTCAGTGGTTTCGTTTTGAGAGATGACAGAAAATCTTTTTATTTTTTAAGTGAAGTTTGGTGAAGTTGTCACTAAATTTAAAAAAAAAAAAAATTAAGTTTTCAGAGAAAAAAAAAATCAGGATTTCATTTTTGGCCGAAATCATGCCGCCCTAGATCAGAAGTGATCGAGATGGAGCCAGGTGTGTCAGTTTAATGTTGTGTTCACATCAAATGCTCCTGAGATTATAAACTCACTCCATTCACCTGAACTTTCTGTTTTTACTCGCTTAATTCACTTTAATTATATATAATCTGACCGCCTCCTTCTCTTTCCTCCAGATGAGCTTCTTCCTGATTCCAGATAAATGAATCTCTTCTTCCTAAGCGAGAAGTCTTGCATCACTTGTGCCCATAAATCGCTCTATTTCCACTCTAAGCGGCGCCTCATTTGTGTCATTCCCAGGTCAGAGGCAAAAACTCACGCCTGATTAAGTCTGTACGTTGACTTCACTTGTTATTCACTTGGAAAAATGGTTTAATAGGTGTCTGGTGTGAACACAGTTGGTCTGATTTCTGCTAATATAACATTTTTGTTAAGGAAGATGGTGCAAGTCTATGCAAGACAAGCCGTGGTACCAACAGGAGGATCTGTGGTTATTAACAGACCCAAAAGTGTCGTATCTAAAAACCAACGGTAGCATAAATTTGGTGGTGTTTGTGACGCCTTCTAATGCTTTAAAACTCAGATTCTCCTCCTCTCAGCTGGACTTGACTGCAGAACTCAATAACAACTGAACTAGCCAGAGAATAGAGACAGGAAGCTCCATAACACTGGCTCTCATTGTTACGTAACACCCTCTGCTCAGGTGTTGTCTGAACAACAACCCCTCAGCAGTCATTAAACACCCAAAGGATATTTAACCAGACTCTGAACTTTAATGAGACTCAAGTCTGCATCACTTTTTACCTCCAGACGGGTTTTTGGATGAGCTGTGACACCGACCAAAATAGCAGCATGAAGGGAGCTGAGAAGTTTCTGTCTGTGGTAATATTCATGTTTTTATAACGTGGGAACTGCACTGATAGGACAAATACAGCAGACCACACAGATTTATTTACCATCGACCAGAATCCAGTCTGTAAATTCGACTCTCTCAGCTTCGACAAAATTCTGTGATATCAGAGAATTAACCTCAAATTGAAGATAAATTCACTCTTTTACATAATTGAGCTGTAAAGTAGGAGATTGTGGTGCAGCTTCACCAACTTCCAAAGGGTACGGAGGAGGCAGAGAAATCTAAACGGTTCCAAACTTTTAGCTTTTAATAAAAGTTTTGATCCCTTTAAAAAAAGCAACTTTCCTTTGACATCAACCTGTTTTGGCTCGTGGACTTGATCAGTGTCAGAAAACACACAACAAGAATATTAAAATATCCAGTCACACAGGAGCCTGCCAATGGCACTACAGCAAAGATGGTTGAGAACATGGTCATGTGACCTCAGTCCAGTTCAGCGTCCATTGAGGACCATAGGTGATGTTAAGTCCATAAATGGTGACTCAGTCATGTTTAGGGGAGCTTGAAAGATGTGCCTGTTTGTGGTTCTGCCGCATGGGTTAAAATAAAAAGTAAAAAGTCCACATGGCATGGACCAGGACTTAGTGGTAGGTTTGTGGTAGCCCATTTTCTTGTTAATACATCTGCACCCATACAAAAGTAGTGTATGAAAAGTCTTTTTTTTCTTAATCTAATTCAAAGTGAATTATTAAGTAAAAAATGTAAAAGTTTTTTTGTCTTTATTTACATAATTTTGGCTCATGGCTCCTAAAATTTAGAAGTCCACTTTCTCAAATTATTCAAATATTTTGTAGGATCGACCAAAAGGAGGATTTGAATCACAGAAGTGTTGAGTGATGAGAAGTGTGTACATGTAAACTCTCTGTACTTTGTCGGGCCTTTGTTCGCCATCGCTGTGTTGTTGAATGGAGCTGACCAGCCTGCAGAACTAAAACCCAGGATGCTTTGAAAGCTCCTTCAGCTCATCTGAAAACATGTCTGAGAAAACTTTGGTATTTTAGTTTTGTAGAGTGTCCTCTCTTCTGGTTGTTTACATCAGGCAAGTGGGATTAATGGCTTGTACTGCAGTCAGCCAGCAGGGGGAGTCTTAAATCTTTTGGCTTCACAGACTGTGAACATTTATAGAGAGCAAATTATTCACCTTTATGTTCTGGATCATTTATTGTGTTACTTGTTATTTTTGTAAAGTTTCATTATATTTTGTGTACTTATGTTCTAAAATGCCACTTTTTGTGTTGTGTGTTTTCTAAATTAATACCCAAACATAATTTTCCTCTCTCTGGTCATATTTAATGAATCACTCTACATACTGACAGATGGATGAGTTCATGTAAAAGTTGAGTGTTTAGACCCAGTATATCTGACACAAGACATCTTTGATGACATAATCATGACACCAGATTACATGAACATCAGCCTGTATGTTACGTAATGTATGAAACGCAGTTATCTTCAAACTGTGACCAAACCGTTAAATCATCAGATTAGGTTCAAAGAAAAGGCTCTGAGGGTAAAAACAGAGCGTTTGGTCTCATCATGATGTCTGTAGATGTTATACAGTGTGAGTCTCAGACTATCTAAACGTCCTGTCATGAATAGGATATTGTTTCTGAATGCCGTTTAAAGGTGTTTTTGTTTTAGTCTCATGGTTTAGTCAGCACTTTGTTAAACCTGTATCATGATGCTGTTATTTCAGGAAATCTGGATCTGTTACTTGAAAGTAAATCACAATAAAATCAGTTTTTTAAGGTCCATCATGCTATGATTTAAGTTTATTTATTAATTCATTAACTTTTTTTTTTTTTTTGAAGTGGGGTTGAATGAGGTTCTCCTCAATAGTAAGTGCACTGGACAGCGGATCCTGGTCTGTTCAGTCTCTGTCGAGAAACTGGCTGGAGAACAGGACCCGGTGTGTTGAATTCCATTCAGTTGGATAAAAGACCATTGATCCTTGCTATGGTAGCTGCTTACAAGGCAACCATCGGACCATGACGCAGTATTTTTGTTTCCATCTTATAGACAAGAACTAAAACCTAAAAACTGATCAGAAAATGAGCAAACAAAGATCTGAAAGGTGCTGTTTGGAGGTATTTGGGGATTTCTTAGTACTCTTTTTAAGTTGCACCATCTGAGTCTAGAGTTTGACCCTGTAGAGAGTCTGAGCCAAGGCTAGGCTTCGACATGCAGACAGCAGAGAGGCAGGAGGAGAGGCTGCAGCCATGCCAAAATGTAAAATATCTCCTTTTACAATATTGTGCCAAGATAAAGTATGGACATTTGACAAGGTGTGTTAAAGTATGGATCAGCACCAGTGAAGTCTCCAATAAAGGAAACCTTCATTTATCACTTTCTCATGGTTGCCAATTTTCACAAAAAAGGAAAATATATATTTTTTATAGTGCAACCTTCAAAACACAAATTATAAACAAGTGTTTCAGACCATGTGCTGTTTTTTTTCTTATTTTGAAAGAAACTTACACATTATGTTTGTCTGCAGTGTCATGAGTTTATCAGCAACACTGACTTCAAGAATTGTTCATTTCCTAACAGATATGGTAGGATTAGATTAGAGGATTTTAGCAACAAGTCCTTATATGGTAAACATGAAACTACAGGAGGAAAGGTTGGGAGGATGTAATGACATGCTGTGGTGTTTGATCAGTGAAGTTTTCAATAAAAAAAATAGATTTTCATTTAAGTGGAAAGAAATGGTGTGTGTGTGTGTGTGTGTGTGTGTGTGTGTGTGTGTGTGTGTGTGTGTGTGTGTGTGTGTGTGTGTGTGTGTGTGTGTGTGTCTCAGGGAGTCACTTTACAAGCCCTCTTGGACAAAAACACTGATAGAGTAACGCTGACTGTACAACTTCCATCAATAGTGACTTTCTCAATAACAGCTGATAACAGTATTTTGTGGGCCATGTTTGTGTGTGTATATACACTGAACATACATGTGAGAGAGACTGTATGAAGAGTGGCACAGTGTACCAGGACTGACACAGTTACCTTTGAACAACTTGTGGGAAAAAAATATGTTTATTTTTTCCATTTACAATCGATAGTCCATCACAAGTGAGAAAATGAAATAAAAAAATGATTTCAACAGGATTAAACTGCTAAATGACTTTATGGTTAAATGCTATTAATTTCTGGTGACCTGATTGTATATTCACACAGGTGAGGTAAGAGAGAAGAAAACAGGTGCTGTAATCTTCCACTGCGGTGGCGGCGGTGCGGGTAACAGATAAACGCAGGTTTAGTCTTAAACTGGCACAGAAAGATACGCTATCTCCACTCTTGGATTGTTTTGTGGGTTTCTTTCACAGACCATTAAAACATAAAATCAGGTTGAGTCTAATGAGAGTCCTCTGACCACACATGACAGATAATCCCATTTCTGTTTTGTTCACTTGATTTAGAAATATGAACGAGATTACAGATGTTTAAATCCTATTAACTCCTCATATCTTTTTCCATATGCTGCACGGCGTACTGCCCTATTGAATATACTATAGCTAATGCACCATTCAATGTGATCATGACAGAGTAACAACTCTACAGATCAGGGCCTCTTGTAGGGTTACAGAAAATTAAACCATAATAGGCCTTTGAGTCCATCTTCCCCTGGATCCATGTTCCTCCCCACCATGGCGGGTTTTCACTTGAGTCAACATGTGGGTCCGCTGTGATGCATCTCTGCTCTGTCTCCACTCCACCAATCTGCAGCAGATACTCACAACGACTGTTTCTGCCGCAGCATCAAACATGGTTAATTTTCAAAATAGGAGAAAACCATTGATCCTGAATGTAACATAGGAGATCCTTGGTCTCCTGACCCCAACTGTCCACCAGTACTGCTCTGTGCTGTGCTCTGAAAATACAACTGGTGGATGTTACTGGATGAGGGAGCATCTGAATGGAGATGCACCGAATACAGATTTCCACTAATAGTTTGTAGCCCAGTCACAAAGACTTGATATCAGGTGGTGTGCAGTGTCCCTGCATGTGTGTTTGTGTGCATATTTCTGCATGTCAACAATTCATCCCTGCAAAAATTCAACATTCAGCAGCACAACGAGCAGGAGGGAGAGAAGCTGCACCTACAACAAAATGTGGTAACTTCATGACCATTTTGGTACAAATATTTAGTCGGTACCAAATAGAAAGTCTGAGTTTGAATTGTCAAAGCTTGCTCTAGACAATGTGTAAAATTCCTTTTAAGCCGCACTGACTTCCCCTCAGGGTGTGGCTTACTCTCTGGAATTCATACGTCGAGTATATTCAGCACAATTTTTATCATATCTGAGGATAATCTGGTTTATGGTCGGAGGAAGAAAGGGTTTGAACGGTTATCTGTTGAAAGAGAAGACCTAGATAGAGTAGGATGGGCATATACTGCACAAAAGGCAATTAACTGGAATCACAGGCAGCTGAAAGTTCATAAAACCTTTTTAAGTGGTGCGCCATCGCAGTTTTGTAGGGCAAATGTTTGATTGACAGTAGAAAATGATCTGGAGCTTACATACAGAGAATAATTTACTCTAATGTGGCTTTTCTATCTATAGTCTGACAAACATGCTCCAAAGCTGAGACAAATGCATTTAAAAACCTTTCTGGAGGTGAAAATGAACTTGATTTGACATTAAAACTTGCTCTTGAACCTTACTCTCACAGCCAAAGAAAGTTTTCCATGGACTGAAACAGAGTAGACTCGTACATCACAACGTTGGATATGAAGAGCCTTGAGAGTTTAGTGAACTCTTTACGCTGACGACAGCAGCTGAAGTGTGTCATTGTTCAAACGGTGCATTGAGTGATTCAAACTATAGCAAACAACCGCAGCAGCAGCAGAAAGGGTAAAGTATCAAATACACTGACGTACAGCCGAACCAGCGGATGGAGCAAAGGGTCCTCAGAATTTGGTCATAATATTTACAGGAATTTATGGTAAATTTTTAACATTTATGCAAACATTTGAGGCGGACAATCAAAGTTTCCCTGAATGAAGGATTTTGGAGTACTCTGGGGAGGAAGTTTCAAACACAAAGATGCAAGACGTCTGAACAAACTGGTGAAAAAAGGATGGCTCTGTGGTTGGACTCAAGCTGGACTCAGTGGAGGATGTGGTGGAGAGATCTACACTGAGGAAGGTGGAGACTATTCAGAAGAACATGGACCACCCTCTTCACAACACCTTGATGGACCAAAGGGTTAATGGTGGTGGACGGCTCCTCTCTCTTCACTGCAGGACAGAAAGATTTAGAAGATCTTTTGTACCAACAGACATCAGACTTTATAACTCTTGTAAATAGTAGATGACTTTTAGAGACATGTCAAGTGAGACAACAGACAATTGAATTTCCCTTCTGGATTAATAAAGTTCTTCTTATCTTATCTTATAGGGTCCCAGTCACAGTACTAGCCATCAAACATCTTGTAGCTTTGCCTGATTTCTTTAGCAACTCACCCACTCTCTTCCAGCAGCCGCTTGTTTGTACAGAGACCTCAGACAAGTCCATGACCAACTGCAGTGGGGTGACACAGCTCAAGGAAGAACATTAATGATCATTTCGAGACTCTCAGGTTTACAAGCCAAACACAGAGCATGGCAGCTCAACTACACATGACCTCACCTCGCCGTGGTTCTGATCATCTTTACGTCAAGAGAGGGTTCACATTCTTGTCTGAAATTTTTATATTAATCACAAAGTTTATGTGTATGGTTTATATAAATAGTTTATATATTTTATCCTAAAGCCTCCTGTCCTTAAGAATGACCTGAAATGTAGACACGCTTGCCAACAACTGTCGTCTATGGTCAGAGCACCATCTAGTGTCTCTTAAAGAAAATGCAGCTAATGAATGACACAGCAGAAAAACTTGTTTCTCTGTTTTTTTTATTTTGTTTTATATGTTTTTCATTTTGCTGAGGACTAAAACATTTTTGTAATGTTTGTTGTTTGAAGAAAATGAACTGTTAATATCATTGTCAAGCTGAAAAAGAAGACTGAAGTGTAGAAAATACAACTTTTATTGTGTTGAAGATAAAATAGGAAGAAAAAAAGAACTTTGATTTATCTTCGAAGGAAAATTATACTGTCTGCAGTCTCATTTGTCATGTCTAATGTCATCTATTGTTTATAAAAGAGTTATAAAGTCTGATGGCTGTGGGTACAAAAGATCTTCTGAATCTTTCCCTCGCTGCTGCATAGAGAGAGGAGCAGTCCACCACCATTGGCCCTTTGGTCCATTATGGTGTTATAAAGTGGGTGATCCATGTTCTTTAGAATATCCTCCACCCTCCTCAGTGTATATCTGTGTTGTTGACTATCGCCTGTACACAAATATTTCTCCTATCTATATACTGTCATGTGACAACGGCTATGAATATTATGCCCTTTTTAGTGTAGTGGACAGTGTCTCCGCCTGTCATGCAGAAGATCGGGGTTTGATTCCCCAACGGGGAGTTTACTTTTTTTTTTTTTATCACAGAAAAAAACAAGCACAGCACATAGAAGGATCCTGTATAATGGAACGACCGACGGAAATTTATTAATGGTAATGTGGATGAACATATTACAGCCATAATGATTCAGACCAGTCCAGCTGCACAGGACCACCTTTGGTGCCCAGCTTCACAAGGTTGAGAACCCCTGATTTAGACTTAAAAGCTAACATCGACTGCAACTACCACACTGACGTGAAATACAAAACATGTTTCCGCCCGGTTTCGAACCGGGGACCTTTCGCGTGTTAGGCGAACGTGATAACCACTACACTACGGAAACCGATGCTCCTTTTGTAATGTCACAGTCATTAGGTTTCGATTCAGATTCTCCTAATGTTGTCACACTTACAATATCTACCAAAGCTACAACTATTGAGGCATGTTTGTTCAAACAACATACACACGGATGGACTGTTTCTGATCACTGTTTCAGCCGCTGCCTCTCTGAGTGTCTCTCAACTTCAAGAAACGGTGTCTCCAAACATCTACCGAAAGGCTGGAACAGCACTACCACTACCAAAGTGTCGCTACTGGCGAAGAATTCATATAAATCCGTACTGAGTGGAATTACCCACAAACTGGCTGACACAGACAATTTGTATCTGTGGGAATATTTTGTGCATGTGTAAAACTAGATCGGGTTTCCCACCTTCAATTAGGACACTGAAGTTACAAGTTTACAAATCTCCTACCTTCACATGTGCCTCTAAAATCACAAGTTTCTTTACTTAAGTTCTCATTGAGCAAGCACGACC